CTTTCTCCATGGTAAACACAGAGAGAAATATTCATTGAGGACCTCGCCCATCTCCTGTGGTTCCATACATACATGTCCACTTTGGTCCTTGAGGGGTCCTATTCTCTCTCCATTTATTATTTCTCCTTTACTGTACGTAAAGAATCCCTTTGGATTCACGTTATTCTTCTCAGCCAAATCTATCTCATGCCCCCATTTCGTCCTCCTGATTTCTTCCTTCAGTAAACTCCTGCATGCACTATGTACCTCCAAGGATTCCCTTGATCCCAGCTGCCTGTACCTGAGCCATGCCTTCTCCTTTTTTCTGGTCAAAGCTTCAATTTCTCTTGTCATCCAGGGTTCCCTACTCCTGCCAACCTTGCTCTTCACCCTCACAGGAACATATAGACCTTGAACTCTAGCTATCCCACATTTAAAGGCCTCCTGGTTGCCAGACGTCCCTTTGCTTGCAAACAAACTACTCCAATCAACCTCTGCAAGCCCTTGTCTAATTCCATCAAAATTCACCTTTCCCCAATTTAGAATTTGAACCTGTGGGCCAGTTTTGTCCCTCTCCATAACTATTTTAAAATTAATTGAACTATGGTCACTAGTCCCAAAGAGCTCCCTCACTTTCACCTCCATCACCTGTCCTGCCCTATTTCCCGAGAGTAGAGTTGTTGGTTGGTTTGCCGAGCTGACTGGTTTTCATGCAAACATTTTGTCTCCCTTCTAGGTGACATTATCAGTGCTGTGTAACCTCCGTTGAAACGCTGTTGTTCTGTCCCACTCTGAATTTATATGTTCCAGTCTGTCATGGTGGGCAGTCTTGTTTCTGGTTTTGTACCGTAGTGGTATGTAGATAGGGTCTATTTCAACATGTTTGTTAATTGCATAGGTAGTTGAAAACCAGGTCTCTAGGAATTCTTGTGCTTGTCTTCATCTTGCTTGTCCTAGTACTGCAACCTTTTCCCAGTTAAATTGGTGTCCTTCTATGTCCGAGTGTATTGAAATGAGGGAGAGTTGGTCGTGCCGTTTTGTTGGAGGTTGGTGTTCATGTATCCTTGTGGTAAGTTTCCTGCCCGTCTGTCCTCTGTAGTGTTTCTCGCAGTTGCTGCATGGTATTTTATTTATGACATTTGTCCTGCTCATTGTGGGTATGGGGTCTTTTGTCTTTGAGAGAATAATATCTATACCAAACTACATTGATTTATTTCAATCAAAACCAGTGTACATCAATATACAGTGATCCACAAAATTTACACAGATGTATGTCGATATGCACTGATCTCTAATAATCTGATGCATTCAATATCAATCGACGCTGATCTATATCAATGCACAGTCATTCATAGCAGTCTACAGTGATCAATATCAATGTACACTGGTCAATATCAATTTCCTTATGGGGCTCATTGAGTATGAGTTCCCATTCTCCCCGTGTCTGTGTTGATTTCCTCCGAGTGCTCCAGTTTCCTCCCACAGTCCAAAGATATGCAAGCTAGGTGGATTGGCCATTCTAAATTACCCATAGTGTTCAGGGATGTGTAGGTTAGGTTCATTAGCCATTGGCAATGCAGGGATACAGGGGTAGAGTAGGGGGATGGGGATGGGTGGGATGCTTTCAGGGTTGGTGTGGACTTGTTGGGCCAAAGGGCCTGTTTCCAAACTGCAGGGATTCTATGATCTATCATCTTAAAAAATGTACAGCATGGAAGCAGACTTTTCAGTCCAGCACATCCATGCTGACCAGATATCCTATATAAATCTAATCCCATTTGCCAGCATTTGGCCTATATCCCTTAACATTTTTCCTATTCATAAACCCATTAGATGCCTTTTAAATGTTGTAATTGTACCAGCTAATGTATCCATTAGCAGCCCTGTCCCGTCCACGTCAGCCAAATCACTCCTCAGTTTTGTAAAATTTGCCTAGTTAAAAGACTTTTACTCCTGATTTGTCTGTGTCCTTTTCCATAATAATACCAAATCTAACTGGTATGATACGTGGGATGGGACTAAGGTATTGAGCTTGATTATCAGCCTCGATCATATTGAATGGTGGAGCAGGCTCGAGGGGCTGAATGGCCTACTTCTGCTCCTAACTTCTATGTTTTTATATGGGTTTCTATATAAATCTACTCTGATCTCTGTCAATCTAGACCGATCAAGGTGGCACTACATAGTTACCGCAATGTGCCTCCGATGACATCATTACGCAGTGTTTTCTTGGTCGAGTCAGTCCTTCTCCTGTACCCTCTGCGGTGGGTAAGCTCTGACCTGTTGGGATGCTGCAGTTGGGAGGTATCGGGGGGGGAAATGGTTGCACATGTAGTGATGCAGCAGCTCATGCTCAGCTGGAGGGTGAACTGCTGTGCCATAGCCTGGAATTCCTTCATGAAACCTCTGTCTCCTCCTTTAGGTGGTCTTTAAAACCTCCCTCTTTGATCAAACCTTTTGTCACCTGTCCTTATGTTGTCATACCTTGGCTTAAATATGTTAAAGGCATTATATAAATGCACATTGGTTTACTTGTGGTGTGAGATTTTTACAACGATCATCACAAACTGAAACTGTTGAGGGCACCAAGCACAGGCAGTGAGACTAAGATGCTTCTGATGCTATTGAAGAAAACTGCTCGGCACTGGTTTAGTTCCAGAGGCGTTACAACCATATGTCAACAAAACAACTGAAGCAGCCCATGTTCGAATGCAGCAAGATCTAGACAATATCCAGGCTTGCACCAAAAAGTGGCAAGTAACATTTGCACCACACAAATGCTTGGCTATGACCATCACCAAGAAGAGACACTCAATAGCATTACCATCACTGAATACCCCCACTATCAACATCCTGGAAGTTACCATTGACCAGAAACTCAACTGGACTCACCACATAAACACAGTGGCTACCACAGCAGGCCAGAAGCTGGGAATACTGTGGTGAGTAACTCACCTCCTGACTGCTCAAAGCCTGTCCACCATCTACAAGGCACAAGTCAGGAGTGTGATGGAATACTCCCCACTTGCCTGGATGAGTGCAGCTCCAACAACATTCAAGAAACTTGACACCATCCAGGACAAAGCAGCTGCTCAATTGACATTACATCCATAAATAACTACCTGCCCCACCACCGACGCTCAGGAGCAGCCGTGTGTACTATCTACAAGATGCACTGCAGAAATTCACCAAAGATCCTCAGACAGCACCTTCCAAACCCATGACCACTTCCACCTAGAAGGACAAGGGTAATAGTTACATTGGAACACCACGCCCTGCAAGTTCCCATCCAAGTCACTCAACTATCCTGACTTGGAAATGTGTTGCCGTTCCTTCACTGTCCCTGGGTCAAAATCCTGGAATTCCCTCCTTAATAGTATTGCGGGTCAACCCACAGCAGGTGGACTGCAGCAATTCAAGAAGACAGCTCACCCCTACCTTCTCAAGGGCAGCGAGGGACAGGCAATACAATGCTGGTACAGACAGCGACACACACATCCCATGAATGAATAATTAAAAAGATATCAAGCCTACCTTTTCGTTTCTATCATCAACATCACTAAGACTTGCGTTAGAATCCTCAGAGAGAGTTTTTAGCCTTTGGCAATTTCTAATCAACTTCCTGAACCATAGCACAGAATTTACAATCATTACTTTTTTAAAAAAAATGTTTGTAACACTTTAGACAGCCGTTGCCTGTTCTTGCCTCGTCACAACTGTTGGCATTTTATAAAGTGGCTGAAAAGATATGAAATTATTCCATTTCTCAAGTTGCAAGAACACAAGCGGCAAACCTTCCTACCCGCACCCCCCTCATCCAGCCCCAACATACACACACTCAGAGACAGCAAGACTCTGCCACTTCCACCACCTACAATCCAAACCCACGACCAAAGATATATTTTTCTCCTCACCCCTATCTGCCTTTCATAGGGACCGCTCTCTCCGTGACTCCCTCGTCCACTTCACACTCCCCACTAGTCCCACCACATCCGGTACCTTTCCCTGCAATGACAGGAGGTGCTAAACAAACACTTCAGCCCTCACCTCCATCCTAAGCCGCAGACAACCTTTCCAAATCTGACAGGGATTCACCTGTATGTCCTCTAACCTGGAATACTGTATCCGTTGTTCCCGATGTGGTCTCCACTACATCGGAGAGACCAAGTGCAGACTCGGTGATCAACTCGTGGAGCACCTGCGCTCTGTACACCATAAATAACAACACCTTCTGGTTGCCAACCTTTTTAACTCCCCCTCCCACTCCCTTGATGACATGTCCATCCTGGGCCTCCTCCAATGTCACAATGACGCCACATGCAAAATGGAGGAGCAGCACCTCATATTCTTCCGCGGAGCCTACAGCCCGATGGTCTCAACACAGAATTCACCAGTTTTAAAATCTCCCCACCCCGGCCTCATCCCATGTCCAAACCTCCCTCTCATCCCCGCCTCCTTGACCTGACACAACCTGTCCATCTTCTTTCCCACCTATCTGCCCCACCCTTCCCACTGACCAATCTCCACTACCCCCTACCTGCATCCACCTATCACCATCCCACCTACCTTCCCCAGCCCAACCCCCTCCCTTTATTTATTTCCAAAATCCCTTCCCCCTCCCCAGTCCTGATGAAGGGTGTAAACCTGAAACATTGACTTTCTGCCTGACCTGTTGTGTTCCTCCAGCTCCACACAGTATTGACACACACACTCACTTAAGAACAGGTTATAGATAAATACAATTTCACATGGATACACATGCATATCTGGATCAAAGTTGTTTTCTTCAACCATTCCACATGGGAGCAAGTTTCACATTCTCCCCACTCTGGATAATGATGTTTCTCCTGAATTCTCTGTTGGATTTACGTTTGCAGTTTCTCATTTTGAACCCTTTAATACACGATTAACATCTCCTATCCCTTTACCATTTTGAACGCTCACGATCGTAAATACCATTCCTAGAGACCTTTTTGATGAGCGTTTATGGATTACTGGTTAGATTAATAGAAAAAACTTACAGGTGGTCCTGGATCTCCCTTCGGCCCAGGTATGCCTTCATAAACTAAATAATCAAGGAAGTCTTCATAATCATAGTTGTAGTTTTCAATATCAATTTCATGTGAATTTTCCGTGTAGTGATCTAATTCCACAGCTGAGTAACCATTTTCATCCCATAAACTGTTCTGATTTAGTGAAGAGGTGTCTTTTGATGCTCTGTACAGTGTTGCATTGATCATCTGCCTTTCGAGGAGCTGGTCTGAAATTTCCTTTGCGATCTCTGGTTGGTTTACATTTCTGAGGCTGTCTTTTATCTTGTGTTGTTTTAGCAGCGAAGTCAAGGGTGAGAAATTTTCATCGGAAATCTTCAAATTCTCTCGGTTTCCGTTCTCCGTAACATTTTCAGATTGATCTGCTTCCAATTCACTTCCCTTCCTGTAAGGTGATTCTTCGAATTTGTTGGCATTGGATTTAGAGTGTTGGCCGGGGAGAACATGGGCAAGTCCAGGGTCAAGCCTTGTGTCATTCAATGGATGAGATCTTATTGTTTCATTGAAACTAGGGGTTGAAGTTTGAGGCAATTTGGTCAAAATCTCTGATTCACCCAAGTTCCTTTGAGTATTGGTTTCAACAACTCTGTCTAATGAGTGGCCGAAATATTCATCTTCATCAGTAACATTTTGTCCATGTGCACTTGTGGTATGAGTTGCTGTTGCCGCTGAACTTGCATGCATCTCTTCACTCAGTGAAGACATTGTGTCACCTGAGCTTGAGCTGGTAACTTCAGGAGAGGTGGTGGAAAGCAAGGGTGACAGGGATCGGTAAGTATCAGCTGGACGACACTGCTTCTTCACATAATTGCAATAATTCATCAAAGCTTGTGCATTTGGATAAATATCCAGCTGGCATAAAGCACCTTCAAATGGAACTGCATTCCAGTTCATCCTTCCTAAGGTTAACTTGCTGCCAGAAACAAATTTCTGTGGTTTGACAAGCAGCTCCTTGCTGATCAGCTTCTCCCCACAGTTGGAAGAAAAAGTAACAGTTTTGCCTTTAATTGAAATGGCAAAGGAATGCCATTGCCCATTATGAGCATTATATGCAAAATATACAGATTGCTTCTCAGCAACATACACAACTAATTTTCTTGGTAAAATCTGTACACCAAACTGAAGTCTGTTCTTATTTCTAATACTAAAGAGAAAAGCATTGTTGACTCGATGAGAACAGAGACTAACAAGTATAGTGAATTTATTGCTAGTGTTTAATGGCATTATGCTCGCAACTGGAGCTTCAACATGTGCGTCACTTGACAGGATAATACCAGTCGCTGTTGCTGTGATTCCCCGAGGTAACGAGCGTGATGGTTGTTGGGAGGGTGATCCTGATGAAAACTGTGTTCCATTGTCTGTAAGACCAAGCTTCCAGAGAATGTCTACACCTAAAATTAGAAAGAATCACAATGAAAACATGTTATATCATACTCTAAATCACACAACATAAAATTTTATAGCACAGTACTAGGCCATTCAACCTATCTGCTACGTTCCACATGAGCCATCTCCCACCCCTCTTCATGCCACCCCACCTACGTGTCCCTCTATTCCTTTCACACTCACCCTTCAATAGTATCTAAGTTCTTTGTCTCAACCACTCCTTGTGGCAGCAACATCCACGTTCTCACAATTTTCCCAGTAAGGAATTTTCTTCTGAGTTACCCAAAGGATTTATTAGTGACTGTCTTTGTATGTGAATCACAAAGCATTAACATGGAGTTACTGAAGGTAGTTAGCAAGATAAATTTGCCTTTATTGCAAAGGGATGGAATGCAGAAGTAGGAAGGTTTTGCTACAACAGTGCAGGGCATTGGTGAGACCGCACCTGGAATACGATTCAGTTTTGGTCTCCATACTTAAGGAGGGAAATAGCTACATTGAAGGTTCAGAGAAGGTTCATTGGGCTGACTGTTGTGATGAGGTGTTTGTCTTATGATGAAAGGGCAAGCAGTTTTGATTTGTCCTCAGTTTCGAGATTAAAAGTATAGGAGGGAACTTTCTTGGACTAAAGATGCTGAGAGTTTAATGATGCTGAGAGGATGTGTTCCCTCGTGGAGGAATCCAGGATTAAGGGGCACTCTAAAAATAAGGAGTCTTTCATTGAAGAAGAAAGTGAATTCTTCTCTCAGAGAGGGTTTTTAATCCCAAGAAGTCTCTTCTCCAGGGAATAGTAGAAGCTGGGTCATTAAGACTGAGACTTTTGATGCATTAAAGAGTCAAAGGTTGTTGGGGGAGGTAGGCAGGAAAGGAGTTGAAATCACAATCAGACCAGCCATGAATTTATTAGATGGAACACAGGGTCAAGGGACTGAATGGCCTCCCCCGTTCCTATTTCTCATGAATCCAGTTCTTTAGGTATAAAGGCCAGCATCTTGGTTGGCTTTTAAGTTATTTTGTGCACCTGACTGTTGATGACCTATTACACTGGAACAAAAGCATGTTTGAAAATCTGTTTTGTTTTTACAATTCAGAGATTCTGTGTTCTTTCCTTTTCAGAAACATATAACCATAGAAACATAGGAAGTAGATACAGGAGTAGGCCATTTGGCCCTTTGAGCTTGTACCACCATTCAACATGATCATGGCTGATTGTGCAATCTCAGTATCCCACACCCGTCCTCTCCCCATACCCCATGATCCCTTTAGCTGCAAGAGCCACGTCCAGCTCCCTCTGAAATATATCTGACAAACTGGCCCCAACAACACTCTGTGGGCGGGAATTCCACAGGTTCACAACTCTCTGAGTGGAGAAATGCTTCCTCATCTCAGACCTGAATGGCTTACCTCTTATTCTTAGGCTGTGACCCCCTAGTTCAAAATGGATGACATCCCATTTGCCACCATTTATATTTCCATTGACTTAGGCTCTTGAAGATGCAATAATGTGCCCTAAGTGACCCTGCATGTTCAGATGCTAGGTATAAGAATAATGCTGCTCAGCCTGGGAGCCCATGACCAGTTAGTATTTTGGATGCAGAAGAGGGGATGGGGCTACTAATGGTGTCAGGATGGAGTGGTATAGTAATACGTAGTGGGGCCGATTGGCCCAAGCAGAAACAATTTACATTTTTGTAGCACCTCCGATGTGGTAAAGTGTAGCCCTAGAATGTTTTGAAGAAGTGATTACGAAGCAAAATTTAACACCAAGCTGTGGGACATAAGAATAGGAGTAGACCTTTCAGACCATCAAGAAAACAAAAGAGATAAAAAAGTTACACTTGTTCAAAGCCGTAGGTTAGAAGGAGCATAAAGGAGGACAGTGAGGTAGAAGTTTGGAGAGGGTTAAGGAAGAAATGAGGACCAGGCAGATAGTGAAACAGCTATACAGCATGGAAACAGATGTGTCCATGCCAACCAGATGTCCCAAACTGAACTGGTCCCTTTTGCCTGCATTTGGCCCATTTCCCTCTAAACTATTCCAATTCATCTACCTGTCTGAATGCCTTTTAAATGTTGTAATTGTTTTGTGAGTACCATTTACTTTGGCAGCTCGTTCCATACATGCACAAAGCCAGTGTTGTCACTATCGGGGTGGGGGGGCTGGTGGTGGTGGTGTAACAGAAGTTGGAATTGGAGAAGAGCAAATATCTCGGAGGGCTCTAGATCTTGGGGGAAGATTACAGAGACAGGGAGGGAGCAAGGTCATGGTTGGATTCAAAAACACTGATGAGAATTTTTAGACCGTGCATTTGTCTTATCGGAAACCATTGTGAATTGGGAAACAGAGTGCAGGAATGGGTGTGGAGCAGGTAAACTTCCCTCACTCCCTCAGTGTGAACTGAACTTGTACAGACTGACATCATGGTGATGCAGTGTAACTCACCGAAATGACAAGGTGATTCTACCAGCTGCTTGGAATGATTCATGGCTCAGACAGCAATTTGACAGCATGTTAGGACTGAGTTAGGACAACTTCAAATGCCTGCTGAGTTTAACAAGCGACTCCCAATATAGAGATAGTAGGAACTGCAGATGCTGGAGAATCCGAGACAACAAGGTGCAGGGCTGGATGAACACAGCAGGCCAAGCAGCATCATAGGAGCAGAACCAAGGCTGTAATGAGGTCAGGAGCAGAGTGGCCCTGGCAGAACCCAAACTGGGCGTCACTGAGCAGGTTATTGCTGAGCAGGTGCTGCTTGATAGCGCTGTTAGTGACACCTTCCATCACTTTACTGATGATCGAGAGGAGACTGATGGGGCGGTAATTGGCCGGGTTGGATTTGTCCTGCCTTTTGTATACAGGACATACTTGGGCAATTTTCCACTTTGTCGGGTAGATACCAGTGTTGGAACTGTACTGGAACAGTTGAACAGCAAGTTTTTCAGTACAATTGTTGGAATTTTGTCAGGGGATGATGGTAATGGTAGACTGGGGGACATGAGGTCATTAGAGCAGATATTTTCCTAACCAAACAGTTTAGAATGTTATGTCATATCTCTGGAATAGGTGGGTCTTAAACCCAGGTCTCCTGGTTCAGAGGTAGGGACGCTACTACTGCAGCACAAGAGCCTCTCGAGGTCAGGAGGGTACAGCCTGTGGTTAAATATGATTCAGCTGCTGCTAATGCTGATTTGAAGGCTTTTCTTCAGATTCACAAAGACTAATCTGTGGGACAGCACAAGGTACCAGATGTTTGTTTGGAGGACTTTGCAGAGTTGACAGGGCTGTGCTTGATATCATCATTTCCTGTGCCTTAGTCAATGCCAGGTTGTCGATCTGGTTTCATTCCTCCCATTAGACAGCTTTATTATATTCCTTTTATCAGCATATTTTTGATCTCTGAAGAGGTTTAGTGAAGCAGATGGTTTTTGTGATAATTGGCAACGTTTCTGTGGTCACTAATCAACTAAATACAGATTTATTAACCAAATTTAAATTTCACCATTGGCTGTGTTGGGGGTTTGAACGCCTATCCCAGCGCTTTAACCTGGATCCATGGATTACTAGTCCAGCAGTATTACTACTGTAAGAATATAAGAGTAAACTATTTTCCTGAACCTGATAATTTACTGCCTTGCTGGTAATTGGCAATTCTGTCAACTTACTTTGTGCTTTCTTTCTATGCAAAGAACTTAACCTCAATTTTATTTTCAGAAAAATGTCTAACAAAACAGAAGTGTCACTCTTTCAAAATCTGCCACAGGGAGGGATGTGTTTGCATATCACAGCAAAACTAGATCACACTTTTCAGTGATGCCTGGAGGTGTGTATTTCTCATATAAAAATATAGGGGCTATGTACAGCAATACCCCAACAGCAGAGGCATTATCTGTTCAGGTGACACTTTGACCATGGGACAAGGTATTTGGGGAGCAACATGGTAAGGTGCTGGAGAAGTCTGTAAAGTTCATAATCCCATTAACAACATTCCCATCTCTCTGCCAGTTGACACAGTTATCCAGCCACACTCAAATCACACAAATTCACAAGATTTGCCTTCTATAGGCTAACCCAGACATTCAGGACAAAAGCTCCTCTGCCCCCTCAAGGGACCCAGAACAAATAGTCAGAATAACAGACCATCCCATGAAATATGAGACAGGTGCTCACACGATCAGATCCTGACCTAAAAAAAATGTTAATATTTAAAAACTTATTCAGCTCTCATTCCTCCAGGCAATAAATTTTCTTTAAGATTATAACTTCTAAATTCCTACTTTTGCCTTAATTTTCCATTATGCTTCTTCGCTCTCAATCCAACCTTTCGTCCCCTCTCTTTATTTCTCCTCCTGTACCTGATTTGACTTGAATTTCTCAGGTCTCCTTTTCTATCAATTGCGTGTTCTTTGTGTTGCTTTGCAGAGAGAAATTCTCAGACCTGCGATCTCAGTTGACTTCAATGAGACATGAACAGTGAACTGGTGATACTATACAGTGCATTACAAAGGCAGTTTTAGAGATGAGGGAATAAATTCAAATGCTGCAGTTCTTTGTGAGATACACCACACTCTAACAATTTCTGGACTACAACAATCTCGCCTTACAACTACTCTTAAACCTCTTCAACTTCTCTTCCAGTACCATTTGATACATTAGTCTCCATGATAAATCTATCGACTGAGCGCATCAGGCATCCTTTGATATTTTGAGCTGGAGTTTGTGCAGGTCATAGAAAAAAGGATAAAGTGGTAAACCTGTCAGTAAGCACAACAAGAACAGGTTTTGGGCAGAAAGTCATGCAGAAAAGCCGAAGCCCTTTTGCAGGTTTTTAAACATAAGGAGAAATGGAGATTTATAACTGAAATAAATGCCCATTAACTGAGACCTGGCTAAGTAGCCTTACTGATTCTCATCTTGTCTATTTTTGGTTTATTTTCCATTGCTTTGTGCTGTACATTTGATCACAGATCCTGGGCTCTCAGCCTATGTTGCTATGGGAGCTGC